GTGAGGAAAAAGTATTAACTCAATCCTCCGAGGCAGCACAAAGACTTACAAAGGTATATAATCTTATCTTTCCCATCTTGTCCCAGGTTATCCCTGAAGGCTGAGCTCCTTCTGTATTCACTGTCTGTCTCTGGGCCAGTATCACGAGGCCCTAGCACTGGGAAATGAAATGGCAGAACTGGGCCAGTCTATAACCCCCTTACCCCACTGCTATTTTTTAAAAATTGTTTAGTTCGAAATAATTTTTAAAATTCTATGTTGTCTTAGTTAAGGTTTCTATTGCTTCATCAAAACATCATTGACAAAAACCAAGTTGGAGAGGAAAGGGTTTATTTGGCTTACACTTCCAGATCACGTAGTCCATCATTGAAGGAAGTCAAGGCAGGAACTCAGGGCAGGAACCTGGAGGCAGGAGCTGATGCAGAGACTGTGGAGGGGAGCTGCTTACTGGCTTGCTTCCCATGGCTTGCTCAGCCTGCTTTCTTATAGAACCCAGGACAACAGTCCAGGGATGACACCACTCACAATGAGCTTGGCCTTCCTGGATTGATCAGTAACTGAGAAAATGCCTTACAGCTGGATCTCATGGAGGCATTTCCTCAGCTGAGGCTCCTTCTTCTCTGATGATTCTAGCTCATGTCAAGTTGACACAAAACCAGCCAGTACATATGTGTCTGTGTGTTTGTGTGTGCACACAATGAGGGTGTGGGTACCCACAGAGGCCAGAAGAGGGTGTGTGATCTCTGGAAATGATGTTGGAGTTACAGGTGACGAGCCAACTGATGAGGGTTCTGGGAGACAAGACCAATATGCTCTCTTAGCCATTTAAACTCTCTCTCCAGCCCAGTGATTTTTAAACTTGGAGAAAACTGCAAAACAAATACAAGGAACTTTCACACACCCTTGCTCAAGATTCCTTCTAGCTTTTCTAATTAACCTCTTCACAATTTTTGTATCATGCTTCTAGTCAAAGGAGCCAACTTAAAACTGCATGGTTAAACCAGTTGCCATGCGTCTCCAGCCCCCTCCAATCAGAGCCCTTCCTGGGCCTCTCCATAACATTGACATAGACTCTTCATGATTGTAGACCAGCCATTTTGAGAAATGCCTTCTGTGACATGAATAATAAAAACTCAGAGACAGATATTGGGGTTCAAGCTAAAGATCAGAGAAGCAAAGCAGCCAAGCCAGTAGCTCTTGCCTCTACCAAGCTGAAATGGCAATCCTGTCTCCACAAATCCTCAGAGACAACACTCTCTACGAATTCTCAGAGGCAAATGCTCTGAGTTCCTGTCTCTTCCTGCCTTATATTCCTTTCTCTGCCCACCATATCACTCCTGTCTCCACCTCTCAAGTGCTGAGATTAAAGGCATAAACTGTTACTCTTTTGGACTGATTCACTCTTGTGTAGCCCAGGATGGTCTTGGACTCCCAGAGATCCATCTGCCTGTCTCCTGAGTCCTGGGTTTAAGGTGTGTGCCAACACTGCCTGGCCTCTATGCTTACCTAGTATAGCTGCTGGGATTAAGAGTGTGTATCACCACTGTCTAGCTCTGTGGCTGTGGCTAGCTTTGTATTTTGATCCACAGTGGCTTTATTAGATCACAAACAATATATCCTTCCTATTGTTCCACAACCTTCCTACTGTTTGTGCAATGTTTCTTCCTGATTAGACTCAGGTTGATCCCTTTTGGTCACAGTATTACAGAAGCAATGGTATGTTCTGTGTCTCATCAGGCAGCACAGGGCGTGATTTGTCCCCTCACTAGTGGTATTTGGTCACTTGATCAATACAGCACCTGTGAACTTTCCCGAGTGCTGGGATTAAAGGCATTCTTGCCAGGCAGTGGGGGTACACACCTTTAATTCCAGCACTCAGGAGGCAGAGGCAGGGGATCTCTGTAAGTTCAAGTCTAGCCTGATCTACAGAGAAAACCCGGTCTTAAAAAAAATGTTTTCTTCTAGTTCTAAATAATAAAAGTAAACAATCAAGCCAGGAGTGTTGGTGGTACACACCTGTGATCACAGCACTGAGACAGGTAAGTCTGGGGCACAGAGAGATGATGCTGCCTAGTCTTTGCTATCAACCTGACAAAATCTAAAGTCAGCTGAGAAGAGTCTTAAAGAGGAATTACTTGGCTGGACTTGGTCTGTGGGCACGTCTGTGGGAGAATTGTCTTATTAATTGACCTGACCCACTGTGGGCAGCACCAATCTCTTGGCTGGGCTAGCCAAAGCTAGCTGAGCAAGCAAGCAAGGATAATGTGTGATCTGGACTGTGGATGTGATGTTATAAGTACTTGCCTTGATTTCCCCAAAATAATGGGCTGCAACCTAGAGTTGTAAGCCCGTAACCCTACCTCCCCTATGTTGCTTTTGGTCGGGTAATTGTATCACAGTGACAGAAATGAAACTATAACAGACACCCTATGTCAGATTTATAAATTAATTAATTAAGTGATCAGCAGGACAAGAAGACCACTTACACAGAGGTCACTAATTGGAGCCCCTTGCATTTCTGCTTGTAATCAATCAGTCTGGTTACCACGTATGGCTTTTGATGATTGTCTCTTCCATGAGGTCATTTTTCCCCTGGGACAGAGTACAGGTGACAGTGTAATCACTGAACAACTCTGCCTTATATTTCCATGCACACATCCTGCCGGTCTGCTTTGCTCTTTTTTCTCTCATCTTTCTACACAGTCATATTCATCAAACATTTGTTGACAATCTGTGTGGGAGGGCTGCCTGTATGCATGGGCTCCTCCTCTTCCACCCTTCCCTACCCCAAGCTGCATTTTGGGGACTCCATAGTCTCTCCTCTATTTCTTGCGTGGCTGGTGTAGATTTGCCGGGAGTATGTAAAGGGGAAGCCCAGGCTGAGTGTGGAGGAAGTGGGTCCCTCTGAGCCAGCTAGACCCTGGAAAGTGGAGAGAGAAGGACTAAGACAGCCACTTTCTCTTCTCCTTTGTTGTCAGAAGAGTTGGGTGTTTACCAGACTGTCTACCTCCAGTTGGCTTCTGGTGATATTCTACATACTGACTGATTGCTGATTTTCCATGCTCCATTCTACTCCTTCCCTGCTGGGACAGAGCTCTGGAGCAACAACCTACTTTGTACTTGGTTCCAGGAGCATGAAGAAGCTGTGGTGTTTGCTCTGGGGATCCTCTGTTCTCAGCTCAGAGGGCCCCATGCAGGGTGGGGCAGGAGAGCCGCTGTGGATCACCTTGGTGGCTGTGATATTATCTGGGCCTAACGGTTTCTTCTGAGAAGGCATTTCCGCCCTCCTGCCTGTGGAGTCGGAAAGACTCGTGCCTCTGTCTCTGAGTGGAAAGGAGTACCCAGCTCTAAGAAGAAGGGGAAAGTCAGCCTGACCTGAAGTCACACACCTGTCACTCCAATATCAGCGAGCTGTGGCAGGGGGATTGAAAATTCAAGATCAGCAAGACATTCATTCCTCTCTTGCTTCCATCTCTGTTCTAGAAGCCTCCTTGCAGCCGTGTAGATAGAATATGGAAACCCCAGAATGCCAGGTTCTAAATAAAAGTGTTATGGGTTGCTTATCCATCTGAACCCTGTGCAGGAAACTAAGCACTATTAAAATAGCCGCTCTTTCCAGAGCAGTGACTATACTGTAAAGATGCCTCACATGAAGATCAGATGAGTGGGTCTTTCTAAAGGAACACAACTAGAAAGCCGCAGACTAGAGCCTAACCCTTCATCTGCTTCTGAAAGCAGAGGTCTTGCCCCTATGCTCTCTGAGTTCAGTGAACTAGAGTCTGCCCTGACATCGTGTTTTGCAAAGTAAGATTTAGAAGGCCTGTGACCTCAAAGTCTACAGACCAACTGAGATGAGAAATAGTCAGGACAGCCTTTTGCAGCTTGGGCCAGTTCTCTGCTGGTTTTCGCTAGTGGTTTCTCTTGGGCTGCTTGTACAGGTGCCCCACCAATGTGCACCTGTCTGATGGTCCAGCAATGTGTTGTTTCTCTCTCTCCCTTGCATAGCAGCAGGTCCTGGCTTGGAGGACAAAGTTGAGGGATGCAGTAAGAAGATGAACAGGCATCCTTTTCAGCCAGTCCTCCTGAAGACATTTCCCCTTGGAAATGGGATCCAGAAGGAGCACCTAGAATTATAATCCAGTAGGAGGCAATGACCCTGGCACAGATTCAAAATCACTATATCCCTCCCACACAGCCTTTTTGCTGTCCCAAGAGCTGTACAAAGTGACCTCCCTTGGGGAGAGTTGCTAAACTGAGCCTTATGTAAATCAGATGTTTAGGACTGTGCCCTTTGCTATATTTAATAGGAATTTAATAGGAGAAAGGGTCCTTTAGCAAGCAGTCTGTGGAGCAGATATTCCCACAAACCCCAGGCATGCACGCATCAGGGCAGATGTGAAGAGAAGCTTGATGCTACAGGAAACTTGGAAAACCTTGCTTGGGTTCCCCCTCCCTCCTCCTCCACCTCCTCCTCCATCACAGTTAGATAACAGATCTACAAACTGATAGTTGTTTTCTGAAAACTGAATCCTGGAAGGTGGACAGGAAAAGAGGTGTCAAAACAAAGGTGTTCTTTTTAGGCTACTAAATCCAGGAGAGCTAGGTACGTGGTTTAGTAATAAAAGGAAGGACATGGAGGGGGGAAAGGATGAGGCTGGAAAAATGGTTATAAGAAGAAAGAAATGGCAAAGAGGAAAAGAATGAAAAGGCAATTCTAATTTGAGGGGCAAGTAAAATAAAGAAGGCAAGCTAAAAGAGGGAGAGTCGAAAATGTGCAAAGCCCGGGGTCCTGAGAAACTTCGCGAGAAAGGGGGCGCGGCGCTGCCCAGCCATGTTTGGGCAGATTAATGGAGTCATGGCTCGGGCTCTTGAGTCCTTCCCTGGGAGGGACAGTATCTGTTTAGATTTGTGTCTAAATTTAAACCCCGATCCGGCCTCCCTCTCTGCTCCCTCCATTCCCCTCCCCTCCTCCTGCGTCCCTCGGTCCCTCCCTCCTCCTCCTTCCTCGTTCTCTGGCGCAGGGCCCCTCGGCCAGCCGGGGCAGTCCCGCAGTCGAGCGCAGCCAGGCGCGCGCCGCCGCCCACTCGCTCTGTGCCCGCTGCAGCCCGAAAGTGGCCCGGGCTGGGAGCAGAGGGGACAGCGGGGATAGCGAGCTCCTGCCCGAGCGAGCTAGCGGGCGTACCCGCCGCCTGAGGGCTACCTGGAGGATATGGAGGTAAAGACCAGTGGAAACGCGGGGCTGGGGTGGGATTCGGGGTGGGGGCTGCGGGGAGAGTGAGGTCAAGGCGCTCCTGTCCAGGTCGCACAACAGGGACAGCCTGCAGCTCCAAAGTCACCAGACCAGCTTCAGAGGTTGGTCCCTACCCCTGCCTAGGAATGGTCTTGTCAGGAAAGGATCTCAAGTGGAAGGGGCGGCGGTGGCTGAGGAAGGGGGAACGGGGGGGGGGCGTCTCTTTTTAAGGATTCAGAGGTTTTGACTGTGCACATACATATTCTTTTAAAAATACAGTTAGGTACAGCTAAGGTCATAAACTGATGAAGGTGTGAGCCAAGAACCCCGAAACAAAAACCCCAGCAACCCTGACTCAGAGGCACTGAGAAAAAGCTGGTAGTTGAGGCTGGGACTGAGGGCATGGCTTCCTCTTCCACTTGTGGCTTGGCCTTTCAGATCAGTTGTCCTCTTGCTACTGAAGTGTCCCTTGTGCCTGGAACGTCTTCTTTCATAACTTTCTGAAAGACTCCCTTCAATGTCAGTCAAATAAACTTTTTCTGAGAAACTAGAGGCTCTCCAGGATATCCTGCCTTCTGAGGCTGTGTGCACCTTGGGGTGTGGTAGCCATTTCTGAGGGGGTGAGTCCCGGACTTAAGCGCTTCTGAGAGGAGACTGGGGACTTTCTCTGCACTTTTCTAACCTCAGTGGAACAGATGCCACTGCTTTCTATCTGAGGAGTAGCTTGGGAGTGTCCCTTCACCTAGCTACCTTCTCCACGCCTACAGACTTGCAAAGATGCCCTCCTTCAAATGCGGACCAGCTACAGGTGGGCTCCAAGGCACAGCATGGGCAAGGCCCCAGGTTCAAACCATAGTGCCACAAAAGAGAAACTGTGACCATTTATTTCATCTTAATCAACCTCAGCAGGACCTGGGGCTTTCAAAGAGGGGAAGCAAGGTGAAATACCACAGGCCTTTAAGGTGATCCCCACTCAAAAGGAAACTGCTCCTCCCTAGACCACGGTCTGCAGTGACCCCAGCACACAGAAGTGTGATCCTTTCCAGGCCTGATCCCACTGGCCTTTCCTGTCTATTTGCCATCTCTAAAAGAACAATAGGTTTGTCCTGGATATTTAGCTCAACCAGTTGTCATTAAGAAACAAGGATTGCATTCTGGGATTTAAGTACCTGGGATGCTGGGGTCCAAAATGGACCTTCTGTAGTAACATGTGCAAGTCAGAACTAGTGGATTAGGGTCGATAGACCACAAAGCATTGCAGGTGGGCTCTCAAGTCTACTCCAGACCCTGAAAACTCGAAGCAATAGGATTCTCTGAGCTGGCTACTGCCTCAGGACAAAGGAGGGAGATAGTTCAAGGGACACTCAAGCTACTGGTTGGGGACAGACCCACCAAGAAACAGCTGTACTTGTAAATTCCCTCCTCAGGGAGAACTCAGGGTGCTTTGGGTGCCAAACTGGGAACTTGTGGGATCACCAGCAGAACTGTGTGGACAACAGGACTTAAAGCGGGTTGCTGCTTGAAGGCCCAATACAAGTCCTAACTTTAATCTAGGGAAACACAGAGGGGCTCCTTCCACAGGGACACTTATTTCTCCCTCAGCTGAGGGAGACGCAGAGGGAGTCCATGGCCCTGAAACTACCAGCCCAGCAACTTCCTGTGTGGCTTGGTAAGCAGGAGGCATGAGAAGAGATCTCCCAACTATAAGCTGATTTATGCAGCAACTGAAAAGGGATTGGATGGAGATAGCCAAATGCCTGTGTGCCAAATGCTGGACCAACACAGGGAGAGATTGCCTAGTCAACCAGAAAGAATGCAGGGCAGATCTGCTTACAACTGTCTTTAGGTATAGGCTTGCTGTTTGGCAGCGACTGCTTTTGAAATTTCTTTGGCAAAACCCAAACAAACAAATAAACAAGCCAAAACACTGCAACAGCTAGCACTACTAAAGGACATAAAGAGAAAACAGGGCTGGAGAGATGGCCCAGTGGTTAAGAGAACTGGCTGTTCTTCCAGAGGCCTTGAGTTCAATTCCCAGCAACCACATGGTGGCTCACAGCCATCTGTAGTGAGATCTGGTTCCCTTTTTTTGGCATGTAGGCAGACATGCAGACAGTACACTATATACATAATAAATAAGTAAACAAACCTAAAAAAAAGAGGAAACAGAAGACAGAGGAAGTGACGATTCTCAGGATGTGAACTCCTGTGATAAGGCAGATTACCTACCTGCTCGTGAGTGGAGCTAGGGGCAATGAATCGGCCTCATGAAGGCGCTGCTTACTTTATGTGAGAAGAAACCAAGTCACATCATGTCCCCATATCAAGCATTCAAGCCTAATCTGTAGGACTTGGCTGTAGCTCTCTAACCCACACTTACCTGCTGCAAATGTTACGAAAATCTTCATATCACTGCATAATACCTCAGCCTACAGGGAACTCTCTGGAATAAACAAAACAAGGTGGCACTTGACCCCTGCCTCTCAAACACTCCCAATTCAATAGAGGGAATGGGACTCGCATATCCTGTCACATGCCACTCTTTGGTGGTGTGTGCTAAGTGAATGCTTCTGCAAGTATGCCTTGTACAGTCCAGGGCCAATGCCAGTCAGGAGAAGCCATGAGAAAGAGTCAGCAATCAGGTAGGTAGAGGAACTCAAGGACAGGTGCAGCTAGAACACACCAGGAAGGCAGGACAGTTGGTTGGAGGGGGTCACTAAAAGGAGAAAAGTGAAAGTAAGAAGATAAAGGCATGTGATGTAGGAGCCACAGGCCAGGTGGGTGAGCCATCGGGAGCTGAAATCTAAGCCACCCAGAAGACATTGCCTTTTCTTCATACAAAATCTCCTTGCCTAGCTATGCTCCTAAGTAGTACCTTCTTCCAATTTACCATTTTCAGACCTTGAAGGCCAACTCATGAATAGGCCTGGAGTCTGCTCTACAGACAATAGAAAACTGAGAGATGTGTTAGGTGGCAGCCATGATGTAGCAAGGTGCTAGATGCTGCCCATGAGTAAGCAAGGCACTCAGGCTGTGGGGCCCCTTTGAGACCTAGGATGTAGTCTGCAAGAAAAAGACAAAGGATAAAGAAGTGAAAGGCAAGGCCGTGTGCTAGAGCAGAAGCAGGAACCACGTCTGCTATTGCATAGCATGTGGGGCCCTGGCTTTGATTCCTAGCAGAGGGAGGAAGGAAGGGAGAGAGAGAGACAGAGACAGAGAGAGAGAGAGAGAGAGAGAGAGAGAGAGAGAGAGAGAGAGAAACTCAGTGTAGGAAGGGCTGTCTCCATGAACCAACATAGTATCTATCACAGAACCCAAATTTCCCAATAAAACTTGCTTGATAAATTAATAGCAGTTGTCGGTAGCACAAATGTTACCACCTTTGGAAGCCTTCCGGAGGCCCTCAGCCTCTACAAAGTACTTAACTAGCCCCACTGGGGCTGGCTCTCTGGCTCCCTGTTGGGAGGAACCATACATATCTGGGGCCTCATGGGCACCAAACATTGAGTGGATGTGTTATGGGAGATGAGAGCAATCAGACTTTTAAAACAGAGAGAAGGAGAAAAAGAAAAATAAAGGAAGGTGGGGGGGGAAACAGACTTTAGTATGTTTATTGGTTGGTTTGACAGTTCTGGGCAATAACTTCAGCACGCTGAGGCATGCAGACTCTTCAGATACAGAAGTGATTGTCTCTAGAAATCATAATGGTTAAGTTATTGTAGATAGGAAACCAGGGAAAACCCCCTCCTGGTCTTTGAGGGCACTAGCATGAATGTGTGCATACAGATAAATAATATTTTTTAGAGTAAGTCATATAAACTGACAATGGTGGCACACACCTTTAATCCCAGACCAGCCAAGACTACATAGTGAGACTGACCCTGAGTGTGTGGGGGTGGGGGGTAATCAAACTGAGTGTGATGATCAACCCTCTAATTGCAGCACATGGGAGCTTGGAGCAGCAGAGTCATGTTAAAGATCATCTTCAGCTGCAAGTGAGTTCCAGAGCTCACACGCACAAAACAGGGCTATCTTCTTTTCATTCTCACAATATCAGCAATATGAGTGTGTGTACGTGTGTGTACATACTGATATATGTATGATGTATTCATTTTGTATGCTGTCCTAATTCATGTATTTTACCTTGTTAAACATTTACTATTTTATTTTAGACCATTTTAACACATTATTTTTGTTTAATTAATGAATTATTGTTATTGTTGTTGTTGTATATATGCAGCATGAGTAGGGAATCCTTGAACCCTACACTGTCCATGTGGTAATCAGAGGACGACTTTCGGTAGTCAGTTCTCTCCTTCCAACCCGGGTCAACCCAGGTTATCTGGCTTTTCCCAGCAAGTACATTTACCCATTGACCCATCTTGTCTGCCCCTCTACCTTATTTTTATTTTATTTATTTATTGGACTGGAAACTCCAAGTCTTGGGAAGAAAAATAAAAAGATTACTTGGGGATGTCCCCGTGAACCTCGCTGGTTTTCCCCCAACCTGTCAACGAGTCACAGTGTGCTGGTTGAGGCTGGTGGTCATAGCGGACACTATTCAGCCTCTGAAGTGGGAGACAGGCTGGATGAACTTGTAGGCTCGCCCGAATATCCACTCCTCCCTCGCTCCTGCTGGGTGGAACCCTCGCAGTCACTCTGGCTCCACTTAGCAGACATCTTCCATTTGCTGGGCTGTGAGAACTGGAGTAGTTTGGGTAGGCACGCTGTCAGGACCCTGCCCTATCGCGGAGGGCTGAGAGCATTCCTGGAGGGGAGTTGGGTTTCAGATCCTGATCCACAGCAGGCTGCCCACAGCTAGGAGAGCCTGAGCCTGGCTCCCGCGGTTCCGTGGGAAATCTGAACGCTGGCAGCTCAGCAACAAGGTAATCTTATCAGAACCACAAGAGTTCCAGAGAACTCTCAAGGCAGCTCTGCCCTCCTCTAGTGACAGTGTCTTGAAGTTTGCAGAGCCAGTCTGGCCT